GCGGGGCCGGGGCCCCCCGGGCCCCCCCCCCCTGCCCCAGCCGGTGGCCCAGCTGCGAGGGCGGCGGGCCACGCTCCGGTGAACCCGTAACCAGAAACGGAGCTCCCAGCTGGAGCGGGGGGCCCGCACCCGCCGCCTCCCCGGGGGACGGGGACACGCGTGGGGCGCCGGGCTGGAGCGGGTGGCGGGGGCGGCCCCAGGCGCTAAGTGGAATCAGGCCCCTGAAACCAGCAGGCGCGCTCCGGCCCCGGTGCCCTCCTCGGCCCGCGGCGCGGCCGGCAGGGAGGCGAGAGGAGAACGCCGGGCGAGGCGGTCGGTTTAGGAAGGAGGAGAAGACACAAGCAATTAAGGCAAGGCGTTATGAACCCAGAAAGATTTGAGAGATTTAAACTGCAAGAAAGCAATGGGACTTTTTTAAGTGGCACCGGGGGATGTGCGGAGCGCTGCTAGGGAAGGGCTTAGGCCACGTACCGTGAAAATCTTCCTGAGATCTTTAAACTTAAGCCAGGAAGCGGAGAGGCCTCGGGACTTCAGCCCGCCAGAGGCGGGCGGGATAGGTGATCCGTGCCCAGCGAGAGCGCGGCGTTCCTCGGGCCCGGGCGGCCGAGCTCTCGGGCCCTGGCTCCTGAAAGCTCCTAACGAGAAGCGGTTACCTTGGCTTACCCTCCGCTTGTGGCATTGCTTATTTTTTCAGGCACAACCTTATGTTAACTGAAAAAAAACAAAACCGCTTTGATTTCTGCCCGCTCTCCCCTCTCGGTCGTCCAGAGCACGTCTTCAAGTGCTTTCATCTCTACCTTGACCTTGACTCTTGGGGGCCTGGCCCAGGTCGCTTCAGGCTGAACGAATTTCCCGAACGAAGGCCCCTCCCTGTAGCAGAAGAGCGAGCGGCGCTGTGGCCTTCCCAGCTCTTCTGGCCAGCCCTGCCTGGCCACTCCGGGCCGCTCCAGCGTTGCCGGGGAGTTTCTGGGGAACAGAAACCCTGCTGAATAATTGCTTTTATTTTCCAGTTGCGCGCTTGGGTAGGTGTGAGAAGCATCATTTGTGATGCTTCTAGTAACCTTCACAGCAGCAGCTAAAGTAATTGGAGATGATTCGTGATAGGTTGTTGTGAAAATAGCCCAGATCAGGGATAAAATAATTTATCTGTGGCTATAAAAAGAGACTTGCAAGGGAAATGGGGAAAGGTGTGAAATGATTGCGAAGCTCACGTTGATGAGGTATACCCGGAGGAACTGCAAATACGCAACACAAGTTTTGGTCAGTGCGTGCCTCTGCCACAGCTGTCGCAGAGGGCACGTGCTGGGTATTTCCCTGCTGCCTCCCGGGTGAGCGTGGGGACGGCAAGGCGTGCTCCTGGGAAAAAGCAGCCGATGTGAAGGTTAACTTAATTCTGATCACTTAATGTTAGTCAGCATCGCTTACAAAGTGGCACTTCTCATCGAAATAGTGGTTTGGATGTTAATTACGTAAACTAAACCAAGGCTCTGCTTTTCAGAATTCATGTCTAATCTGCGTATTTGCCAACGTGAACATTCACCGTAATAACGCGGATAAACGAAGCATCGGTTGTTATGTGAACTTGTCTGAAAAAAACGTCTCTTGTGAACTTGAACTACAGGAATGTCTCGGGAAGGTATGGAAGGAGAAGCGTGCATTTGTGTATACAACTGCTCGTGCTGATTAGAGGGAGAGTTGCTTTTTACGCTTCTGCAAGACTTGTCCCCATTTCACATATTCCTTCTCTGTCGGTGTTCTAGAACACACGTTCCTTGGGGGTCAGACAGTAAGGTCTTTGTTTGGAGCTGTCAGTTAGGAGGGAAATGCTTTTATTCAGTAGCAATCCAAAATTCCGGTAGTAATTTGAATTCACTGTGCGGGTTGGAAAGTGCTTCTGGATGATCGTCCAGTTTGGTCAATTCAATACGCGTTCCTCGTCTTCCTCCTGGTAGCTACCACGCGCTTGCATGGGAATAGCGAGGCCAAGGAGTTTCCCCTCACAAAGCAAGGAAATTCCGAAGGCCGTACTGAAGTTTCCATACAATTCTTAAACTTGTTCATTTGTTACCCGTGTGTTGTTCTTTGTAGTGCAGATGGACAGTCTGGATTTTGGGCTAGAAATGTTCTGCTTCCTTTCTCAGCCCTCTAGCTCTGCTCCTGAAGTTCTCTGTCACCTTGTTTGAGAGGCTCGCCCGAGACATGCAATTACGGAGTAAATTAGACAAAATCCATGGGTTGCTGCAGATCCAGCTGGGAGTGGAACAGCGAGAACGTCCTGAGCAGGCCAGGCTGAACGCGTGCCAGCGCTACCTGGGCTTTCCAGCGCGTATTAGTTTTCCATTTAGTTCCAGTTGGCAGAAGGGTCTCGGAGCTCTTCCTGAAAGATATTTTTTTTAAAAAAAGCTTATTAGAAATCACACAGCATTCCACAAGCCGTGCCGTTTAGATCTTCCCTGTAAGGCTGTCCCTTTAGCAGTAATACAGCCTTTTTGTTCCGTTTTAAACGGCAGCTCGTTGTGCTGATGAGTGGGGGATGCGACAGCGTTTCTCCCTCTCCACCCAGAGTCACGAAGGACTCGGATCTGTGAGCTGGGTTCGTGCGACGCGAGTTTGGATTGATGCTGAATCTCGTAAACCTGATTCAGTCGGAGCACCAGAGCAGGAGCGAGGAGTGCGTTTCAGTGGGTTGGTGTGCTTGGGCAG